ATATATATATATATATATACAGTACCCCCCAGCAGTGAGTCCCCCTCCCCCGACTGTATACAATATATATATACCGCCATCCACGACCTCTTTGTTTCCCGCTCCCTCAACCTCCTAGTGATCACAGAAACCTGGATCCAGGCCACTGACTCTACCTCCCCTGCTGCACTCTCCTACGGAGGTCTCACCTGGACCCACTCACCCAGACCTGACGGTCGTAAAGGTGGTGGGGTTGGTCTGCTCCTGTCACCGCAGAGCACCTTCCGAGTCCTCCCCAAACCCCCCTCCCTATCCTTCTCCTCCTTCGAGCCCCACTGCGTCCGACCGACTATTCTCCCCAACCCCCCTGAAGATTGCTGTGATATACCGGCCTCCTGGATCCATACCCCGCTTCCTGGATGACTTCTCCTCCTGGCTACCCTTCTTCCTCTCCTCTGAGCTACCCACCATCATCCTTGGGGATTTTCAACATCCCTGTCAACCTCGACAACCCGGCCACACATCCCGTCTCCTCCACCTAACCTCCTCCTTTGCACTTGCACAGTGCATACAATCCACCACCCACTCCGACGGTAATATCCTTGATCTCGTCTTCTCCAACCGCTGCGCTCCCCACAACCTCACTAACACCCCTTCCCCTCTCTCTGACCACAACCTGATTTCCTTCTCTATCTCCTCGTCCTCCAACGCCTACCCCTCCAAATGTCACACTACTACCCAGCCGTAACCTCCGCAACCTGAACCCTGCCCCCCTCCACTATGCAGCTGATCAACTCCACGACCGCATCCTCCCCCTGTCCTGCCCCGACTTGGCTATAACCGCCTACAACAACGCGCTGTCAGCAGCCCTTGACTCACTAGCGCCTTTAACCACACGCACATCAGACCCCGACCGCTCCCAGCCCTGGCAGACTGATCACACCAAAACCCTCAAACGACAAAGTCGTGCCCTGGAGCAACTATGGCGCAAAACCAAATCCCAACAAGCCTTCACCCGATACAAAATCTTCCTTCCACACCTACACCTCCTCCCTCCACACTGCCAAACAAGCCTACTTCCTGACCCTCATCAAGGCCCTCTCCTACAATCCTCGCCGACTCTTCTCCACCTTCAACTCTCTACTTTCTCTCCCACCCCCACCTCCACCCAGCACCTCACTCACCGCTCCCCACCTCCACCCAGCACCTCACTCACTGCCCTTGAGATTGCCAATCACTTCAAAACAAGATTGACACAATTCGCAAGGACATTGCCGCAACTCACACGCCTTCTCAACCCGTCCCCTCTCACACAGCTACCCCCTCATCCCCCCTCCCCCTCGACATAACCCGCAGGGACTTCGTTGCTGCTCAAACTCCCTCCAACCTCGTTCCCCCCTCACTCAGCTACCCCCTCTACACCCCTCTCTCAAGTCCCACGGCCCCACCACTGCTCTGACCTCCACTTCCACCCCCACCCTACATTCCTCATACTGAAGCCCCCCCCAACACTCCACACCTTTGACCTTACTACCATCGAGGAAGTCTCCAAGATCCTCTCTGATGCCCGCCTCACCACCTGCCCCCTCGACCCTATCCCCTCACAACTCCTACGACCTCCTCCCCCTCCATCCTACGCTCCATCACCCACATCTTTAGTCTCTCCCTCTCCTCCAACACTTTCCCCTCCCCTCTGAAACATGCACACATCACCCCCCATACTTAAAAAGCCCTCCCTGGACCCCAATGACCCGAACAACCTCAGACCCATCTCCCTGCTCCCATTTACATCTAAACTCCTCGAGCGCCTAGTCTACACCCGCCTATGCTCTCACCTCAACGACAACAACCTCCTCGATCCCCTACAGTCCGGCTTCCGTCCCCTACACTCCACCGAAACCGCCTTACTCAAACTCTCCAACGACCTGCTAACCGCCAAAGCTAATGGCCACTATTCAGTGCTCCTACTCCTTGACCTCTCTGCGGCCTTCGACACAGTCGACCACCCCCTCCTCCTCAAAAAACTACACTCCCTCGGCCTCAGAGATTCTGCTCTCTCCTGGCTCTCATCCTACCTGTCACAACGCTCTTTCAGGTGTTACCTATAATGCTACCACCTCCCCCTCACTCCCCCTCTCTGTTGGGGTCCCTCAAGGCTCCGTCCTCGGGCCCCTTCTCTTCTCCATCTACACCTCCTCCCTTGGCCAACTCATACACTCTCACGGCTTCAACTACCACCTCTATGCCGATGACACACAAATCTATCTCTCAACCCCCCACCTCACCCCCCCTCAGTCTCCGCCCGAATCACACACCTACTGAGCGACATATCAGACTGGATGTCACTCCACTTCCTTTTAAACTGAACCTCTCCAAGACGGAGTTTCTTGTCTTCCCCCCCCAGCCCGGACCCCACCCCCCATTGACTTCTCCATCACATCCAACAAAGCCACCATCAAACCCGCCCCGCAGGCCAGAGTACTTGGTGTCATTCTGGACTCCAACCTATCCTTCCAGCCCCAAGTCCAATCTTTAACTCATGCAGACTCCACCTCTGCAACATGCAGATCTCCGCCTTCGCAACATGCAGACTCCGCCTCCGCAACATCGCCAGAATCCGCACGTTCCTCACCCCAGAAACCACTAAACAGCTCATCCACCTCCCTCATCATATCACGACTCAACTACTGCAACTCCCTCCTCACTGGCCTGCCTCACCGCTGGCTATCCCCGCTTCAGTCCATCCTGAATACGGCTGCCAGACTCATTCACCTTTCCAACCGCTCATCTCCGCCACCCCCCCCTCTGCCAATCCCTCCACTGGCCTCCACTCAGTGGCCTCCACCCCCCCTCTGCCAATCCCTCCACTGGCCTCCAACTCAGTGTCCTCCACCCCCCTGCCAATCCCTCCACTGGCCTCCACTCAGTGTCCTCACCCCCCTCTGCCAATCCCTCTACTGGCCTCCACTCAGTGTACTCCACCCCCACTGCCAATCCTCCCAACTGGCTTCCGATTGCGAAACGGATCAAATTCAAAATCCTAACACTTGACGTACAAAGCTGTCCACCATAACTGCCATCGAACTACATCACTGACCTAATATCCAAGTAACAAACGCCAACACTTGCACAAAACCGCTCCTCACAAGACCTCCTTCTCTCTAGTTCCCTGGTCTCCTCCCCCATGCCCCCCCCCAGGACTTCTCCAGGGTGTCCACCATTCTCTGGAACTCCCTGCCAACCCATGCTCGATTATCACTTACTCTCCTCTTCCTTTAGGTTGCACCTGAAAAACCATCTCTTCAGGGAAAACTATTGCCTACCCCAATACCCCACATGCTATCAACACTTGCCGACATCCTTCACTCTTCCTACCACTCCATCCCCCACAGCTCTATCTCCTCCTGTACCACCATCCCATCTATCCCTCCTAGATTGTAAGCTCCAAGGAGCAGGGCCCTCCCGCTCCTCGATATACCCCTCATCATATACTATATGTTTTGCATTGTATTGGTATTGTTACTGTCACATGTTCTGTCCCCCTTTGTAATGTACTACAGCGCTGGGCAGCAAAAACTATTGGCGCTTTATAAATACTGTTATATATAATGATCTTTAGAAGAGTAAACTTTCCTTCTGGGACGACAGCCATGCAAAATAGACAATGTGATGCAGTTGTGCGGCCGTATGGTTGAGCACTGACAGGCTGACCCCCCACACCCTTCACCACCCTCTGCAGCAATGCTGATCACACTGACAGGCTGACCCCCCGATTTTTCCACCCCTTCACCCTCTGCAGCAATGCTGGCAGCACTCATACGTCTATTTCCCAAAGACAACCTCTGGATTATGACGCTGAGGCTCCTTGTGCCTGGACTCAACTCCTTTGGTGGACCAATGGTTGAGGTCTGTTCTGAGTGAACCTGTCCTTGTTACATCATTATATATATAATATGTATGGTCTTGGCATATAATAATATAATATATAGTGCTTGTGACTGCAGCTCAGTTTCAGGGTCTTGGCATCTTCTTATATAGCATAGGCCCATCTTATGTAGAGTTACAATTCTTCTTTTCAGATCCTCAGACGAGAGTTTCTTTGCCATGAGTGGTGCACCATGTTTAGAACTTCCAGTGACCAATATGACAGAGTGAGAGCGATAAAACCAAATGTAACCCCCACCCCGCTCCCATTCACACCTGAGACCTTGTAACATTTCTAATGAGTCCACATGACACCAGGGGAGGGAAAATGGCTGATTGGGCCCACTTTGGACCTTGTCACTTAGGGGTGCAGTCACTTTTGGGAGATACTGTATATATATATATATACTCTACAGTTGCTCGGCATAAATGCGTACAGCCCAACAGATGTGTCAGAAAACCTTTCCTTTCTTTCCAGAATCACACACATTTTCTATACTACAATCCTTCCCATCTCCCACAAATGCCGGTCACTGATTGCAGACAAGATTTTGGTTGTAATTTGCACACACAGAAAAGTATTTTTCCTAACAAATTCATCCCAGACCATGTTGCAAAAATGAACACACACCCAATGAAAGTCTTAGAGCAAAGCAATGTTTAATACAGCAAAATCCTAATGAGTAAGAATTCAGCTCCAGTGAGTCTGATTATTCATTAAATAGGGGCCCCAACAGACAGGTGATTATAAAAGGAAGTTACTTAACAAAGAAAGCCCCCACCCATTTCATGCTGTCAGCAATGGCACCACATGGAAGAGAAATGTCACCAAGGCCTGAGAAAGAAAATAATTTCTTTACACAAAAAAGGTAAATGCTACAAGAAGATCAGTAAAGCTTTACGTATCAGTCAGAATAAAAAAAAAAAAATAGCAAAAGTGATACAAAAATGTAACAAAGATGGTACTGCAACAATCTCACAGAGACGTCCAGGCCTTCCACGGAAGTGAACACCACGAAAGGAGCTTCTTTGAATGATTGGGAGGAATTGTAACACCTGAATCACATGATTTGGAGGGGATTGGAACACCTGATCACATGATTTGGAGGGGATTGGAACATCTGAATCACATGATATGGAGGGGATTGGAACACCTGAATCACATGATTGGGAGGGATTGGAACACCTGAATCACATGATATGGAGGGGATTGGAACACCTGAATCACATGATATGGAGTGGATTGGAACACCTGAATCACATGATATGGGAGGGGATTGGAACACCTGAATCACATGATTGGGGGGGATTGGAACACCTGAATCACATGATATGGAGGGGATTGGAACACCTGAATCACATGATTGGGAGGGGATTGGAACACCTGAATCACATGATATGGAGGGGATTGGAACACCTGAATCACATGATATGGGAGGGGATTGGAACACCTGAATCACATGATATGGGGGGGATTGGAACACCTGAATCACATGATATGGAGGGGATTGGAACACCTGAATCACATGATTGGGAGGGGATTGGAACACCTGAATCACATGATTGGGAGGGGATTGGAACACCTGAATCACATGATATGGAGGGGATTGGAACACCTGAATCACATGATATGGAGGGGATTGGAACACCTGAATCACATGATTGGGAGGGGATTGGAACACCTGAATCACATGATATGGAGGGGATTGGAACACCTGAATCACATGATTGGGAGGGGATTGGAGCACCTGAATCACATGATATGGAGGGGATTGGAACACCTGAATCACATGATATGGAGGGGATTGGGAACACCTGAATCACATGATTTGGAGGGGATTGGAACACCTGAATCACATGATATGGAGGGGATTGGAACACCTGAATCACATGATATGGAGGGGATTGGAACACCTGAATCACATGATTGGGAGGGGATTGGAAACACCTGAATCACATGATATGGAGGGGATTGGAACACCTGAATCACATGATATGGAGGGGATTGGAACACCTGAATCACATGATTGGGAGGGGATTGGAACACCTGAATCACATGATATGGAGGGGATTGGAACACCTGAATCACATGATTGGAGGGGATTGGAACACCTGAATCACATGATTGGGGAGGGGATTGGAACACCTGAATCACATGATATGGAGGGGATTGGAACACCTGAATCACATGATATGGAGGGGATTGGAACACCTGAATCACATGATATGGAGGGATTGGAACACCTGAATCACATGATTGGGAGGGGATTGGAACACCTGAATCACATGATATGGAGGGGATTGGAACACCTGAATCACATGATATGGAGGGGATTGGAACACCTGAATCACATGATATGGGAGGGGATTGGAACACCTGAATCACATGATATGGAGGGGATTGGAACACCTGAATCACATGATTGGAGGGGATTGGAACACCTGAATCACATGATATGGAGGGGATTGGAACACCTGAAATCACATGATATGGAGGGGATTGGAACACCTGAATCACATGATTGGAGAGGGGATTGGAACACCTGAATCACATGATTGGAGGGGATTGGAACACCTGAATCACATGATATGGAGGGGATTGGAACACCTGAATCACCATGATATGGAGGGGATTGGAACACCTGAATCACATGATATGGGAGGGGATTGGAACACCTGAATCACATGATATGGAGGGGATTGGAACACCTGAATCACATGATTGGGAGGGGATTTGGAACACCTGAATCACATGATATGGAGGGGATTGGAACACCTGAATCACATGATATGGAGGGGATTGGAACACCTGAATCACATGATATGGAGGGGATTGGAACACCTGAATCACATGATATGGAGGGGATTGGAACACCTGAATCACATGATATGAGAGGGGATTGGAACACCTGAATCACATGATATGGAGGGGATTGGAACACCCTGAATCACATGATATGGAGGGGATTGGAACACCTGAATCACATGATTGGAGGGGGATTGGAACACCTGAATCACATGATATGGAGGGGATTGGAACACCTGAATCACATGATATGGAGGGGATTGGAACACCTGAATCACATGATTTGGAGGGGATTGGTACACCTGAATCACATGATATGGAGGGGATTGGAACACCTGAATCACATGATATGGAGGGGATTGGAACACCTGAATCACATGATATGGGAGGGGGATTGGAACACCTGAATCACATGATATGGAGGGGGATTGGAACACCTGAATCACATGATATGGAGGGGATTGGAACACCTGAATCACATGATATGGAGGGGATTGGAACACCCATGAATCACATGATATGGAGGGGATTGGAACACCTGAATCACATGATATGGAGGGGGATTGGAACACCTGAATCACATGATTGGGAATTGGAACACCTGAATCACATGATTGGGAGGGGATTGGAACACCTGAATCACATGATATGGAGGGGATTGGAAAACAGTGAATCACATGATATGGAGGGGATTGGATCACCTGAATCACATGATATGGAGGGGATTGGAACACCTGAATCACATGATATGGAGGGGATTGGAACACCTGAATCACATGATATGGAGGGGATTGGAACACCTGAATCACATGATTGGGAGGGGATTGGAACACCTGAATCACATGATGGAGGGGATTGGATGGAGGGGGATTGGAACACCTGAATCACATGATATGGAGGGGATTGGAACACCTGAATCACATGAATATGAGGGGATTGGAACACCTGAATCACATGATATGGAGGGGATTGGAACACCTGAATCACATGATATGGAGGGGATTGGAACACCTGAATCACATGATATGGAGGGGATTGGAACACCTGAATCACATGATATGGAGGGGATTGGAACACCTGAATCACATGATATGGAGGGGATTGGAACACCTGAATCACATGATATGGAGGGGATTGGAACACCTGAATCACCACGATTGGGAGGGGATTGGAACACCTGAATCACATGATTGGGAGGGGATTGGAACACCTGAATCACATGATATGGAGGGGATTGGAACACCTGAATCACATGATTGGGAGGGGATTGGAACACCTGAATCACATGATATGGAGGGGATTGGAAACACTGAATCTGAATCACATGATATGGGAGGGGATTGGAACACCCTGAATCACATGATATGGAGGGGATTGGAACACCTGAATCACATGATATGGAGGGGATTTGAGCACCTGAATCACATGATTGGGGGATTGGAACACCTGAATCCCATGATATGGAGGGGATTGGAACACCTGAATCACATGATTGGAGGGCGGGGCCAATACTTTGGGCAATATAGTGTCCATTATATTGTATACATTATTCTCTCACCTCTATCCTGTCATGAGGGATCTGAGATCACATACATTACATGACTATCTCCATTAGATGGCGCTGTCCTCCTGCGATATTTTTTGCCTGCATCTGCAATTTCTGATTTCTGTTGTCAGTGAGGTGACCCCTCTGGAGAACATTCCAGCAGGAGGACGGCGCCCCCTGACAGAGGACATTCGTTATACAGAGGAGACATTTGTGTATTCAGGAACCCTACAGACCAATCGGGGATGAGGTTCTCCAAGATGACAGATAATGAGAGTAATGTTCAGTTTCCTTACATTTCTGTTTCTGCGACGCAATGAACTGTATCCGGCTACCATTGTTCTGTACTATGCTGACAACTAGTGGAGGTTTTGGGTCACTGCGAATTATGTGACGTTGGTATTTTCCTCTGTCCTCCCCTCCTATGTAGTGCTGCTTAGTTCAGTCCTAGACCCTCCCGATGTCCTCCATGTTCCCTCAGTCCGTGTGTTTTGCGCAGACAGGGCTGGGGAAAGTCATTCTCTGTACTGCAGTTAGTACATTTGTGTCGATTCAGCTTCTGTGGCTCAGTGGAGAGTGAAGCTGCCTGTGGAAGGTGCCAAGTCAGCAGGTGGCCGTGCTGGTCAGAGAGACAGAGGGTAACGCCCACATGTGAAGCTGAGCCTCCATGATTGACAGGACTGACATCCAATGGACGATGTTTGTGAAGGCAGAATCCTGGTTGGTTGTGAAGGATCGGGGGAATATCAGATTTACGGGACATCGGATGGAGAAATGTGATCAGTGGTAGAGAAGCCATAAAATGATCTACAGGACACCCCCAGGAAGTCCGCCCCGTTAATGTCAATTGGGGTCACCCCCCCCCCCCCCGATCTTCTACGTCATGCATTGTGCGGGGTTCTCCTCGCTGACCCCATGACACAGACATTGGAGGACATCGATCGTTATATCTCACCCACCGAGTGTATATAGGAGACGAATCTCCATCACGGGGACCCCCGTACTGTCCTCTCCACCATCAGAGAAGACGGAGATCTGATTGGAGGATGGAGGGAGATTCGTTGTCATTATTTATAGGAGGTGGATGTGCAGATACATACAGACTGTCTGTGCTGCCCCAGCTCCCCATATACCCCAATCAGAACTTTCCGGGTGCTGAGCAGTGGGAGGGGGGAAAGAAGAAGGGGGAGGAAAGGGGAATCCAGGTGCTGAGCAGTTGGGGGGGAGGGGGTGGGGGGATGTTGCTGACCAGTGTGGGGGGGGGGGGTAGGAAGGGGTGGGGGATGTTACTGGCTGAGGACTGGTGACTTGAGGTGTGACTGAGCAGTGAATTGGGGAGGTTTGGAAGGGGGGGCAGTGGGGGGGATGAAGGAAGGGGAGGGGGTGTTCCTGAGTAGTGGGGGTGCAGTAAAGGAAGGGGTCAAAGGAAGGGGGCAATGGGGGGGGGGAAGGAAGGGGGGGGGTGGGAAGGGGGGGATGTTGCTGAGTAGTGGGGGGGATGAAGGAAGGGGGGGGGTTTGCTGAGTAGTGGGGGGGATGAAGGAAGGGGGGGGTGTTGCTGAGTAGTGGGGGGGGGTGAAGGAAGGGGGAAGTTGCTGAGTAGTGGGGGGGGAAGGAAGGGGGAATGTTGCTGAGTAGTGGGGGGGGGTGAAGGAAGGGGGGGGGGGTTGCTGAGTAGTGGGGGGGGGCTGGATGAAGGAAGGGGGGGGGGGTGTTGCTGATTAGTGAAGGGGGGGGTGAAGGAAGGGGGGGGTGAAGGAAGGGGGGATGTTGCTGATTAGTGGGGGGGGGGTGAAGGAAGGGGGGGGGGGGGTTGCTGATTAGTGGGGGGGGGGGTGAAGGAAGGGGGGGGATGTTGCTGATTAGTGGGGGGGGGGGTGAAGGAAGGGGGGATGTTGCTGAGTAGTGGGGGGGGTGAAGGAAGGGGGGATGTTGCTGATTAGTGGGGGGGGGTGAAGGAAGGGGGGGGGGGGATTGCTGAGTAGTGGGGGGGGTGAAGAAAGGAGGGGTGTTGCTGAGTAGTGGGGGGGTGAAGGAAGGGGGGGGTTGCTGAGTAGTGGGGGGGGGGGAAGGAAGGGGGGGGTTGCTGAGTAGTGGGGGGGGGTGAAGGAAGGGGGGTAGTTCCTGAGTAGTGGGGGTGAAGGAAGGGGGGGGGGTGTTGCTGAGTAGGAGGGGGGATGGAAGGGGGGGTGTTGCTGAGTAGGAGGGGCTGATGGAGGGGGGGGTGTTGCTCAGTGGGAGGAGGGAGGTGATGGAAGGGGGGGAGGGGTGATGGAAGTGGGGGT